AGGTGCTTGGTGATCCCTCAAGAACAAACTTAAAGATGGGATAAAGTAGAAAAAGGGAACCAACCCTAATGTGTGATCTTGATGTATTGATAAAAATGAGATGATGAGAAATCTTAGGGGGAAAATTGAGGTATAACACTCGTCATTCGAGTACTCGTCTTCCACCTAAGAAAACTTTCAACATATCAAACATGTCTTTTTTATTTCTTAGCGCGACGCCAAAAACTTTCATAAACAAAATATGCTTCGTCCATTCTGAGACGATACAAACAATGATTTATTTCTACCATGTACGAGTAGGAAGTAACTTTTTCTGCTCGAATACGATGAGAACATTAATATGTGAGAATCCATATTATGTTGTCCATTCTGATGCGATGTAAATGTTCACTTATCCATATTTGTGTAGCAAGCAATGTTTTCCACTCGAATGCGGCTAAATACCTTTCACTAAAATCGACCAACAAATAAACATTTTCTACCTAAAACTACGTAGTTTTGAATTCCTCATTGCACCAAAGGATACGTAGGAGAGAGACTCATCTTCTCGTCAAGCACCATAATAAAAAAATCTATTTTTAGTCCCTATTTCTTTCATTTTGTAAATACACCATAATATTTAGAAGAAAACAAATAACAATATGCTAACACTTTATTCTAGAAACTAACTAAATGGTTCCCGTTGAATACAATAGATGTGAGGGGTGCTAATACCCCCTTGCATAACAGACTCCCGAACCTTAATTTGGTTATGACGATCATATTTTTGTTATTCAAGGGTTTTATTGACATTTTCCCTTTCTTTTAGAATAAATAAACTTCAGTGGCGACTCTATTGTATTTCGAGCATTCGTTATGATCGGGTATTTTCCTCGCTGTGAAACTAGCTTAAAGGAAAAAGTGGAAAAAAAACTAAACAATGGCAAGGGAATTCAATGTCATGAACGTAAATGATTTATACAAATTCAGACTGAACATGCAAACTCTCGACTATGGCGTTTTGTTTCCTATAGCTGATGAAGGAAAGAATACAAGCTAGTGGATTACACCGACTCCAATTGGTGGAGTGATGCTGAGAATCAAAAATCTACACCTGGTTATATGTTTATGCTAAGTGGTGCATCAACTGCTTGGAATTTAAGAAAAGAACCAGTAGTAGCACTATCGTCGTGTGAAGCAGAATACATAGATGTTTCTCTTTGTGCATGCCAAGCAACGTGGATGGCGAATCTGATCGAAGAAATTACAGGGAATAATCAAGGAGAAATCATCATGAAGATCGACAACATGTCAGTTATCAATCTGACAAAGAATTCGATAACACGTAGAAGAAGCAAGTACATCGAAATGAGGTCCCATTATCTTCAAGAGCAGAGAGTAAAAGGGAAGATGGACTTCGAACACTACAAAACTGAGAATCAGATTGTAGACATCGAGACAAAAAGAGTGCAGGTCAGAGTATTCAAAAAATTAAGATCTATGATGAATGTGGATAGCTTAGACACAATGAATTAGGTGGTGTGTTGAGATTGTAATTTCTTCTGTCGAAGCCGATTGCTCGGCAGAAACAAGGCAATGTCAAAATAGCCTAGTGTGTGTCAAAGTTGTGTAGTTGTCGAACTGCCGAATGAGTTAGCCTCGACAAAAATTTCGACTTAGACCTAATTTTATAGTGTTAGCACAATTAGGTATTTGAGCTTTGTTTTTGGGCTTTGTTTAGGGAACAACCAAACTCAATTATAAATAGGGAGTAATCCTTATTGTTGTAATGTACTTGATTACAATTGCAAAGAATAAAATTCTCATTTGTGAAGTTGGGAGAAACTCTGTAGAAAATCTTTTTCTTCCCCTATTTTGTTCAAACCCTAATTCACTTTTCTTCTAATTCATCTTTTTCTTTCTTCTTGCATTATCAATTGTACAACAGAATCATCTTGCAATCAAAGTTGGTTGATTCACTTGAGTGAAGAGTGAAGAGCAAGAGAGAATTCGATCAGTTGATTGATTCTTATTCATCAAGATTGATTCATAATTCTCCTTATGTTTAGAGTAATTCCAACCTATATCATATTCAACTAGTTTTTATACCATCAAATGGTGTATTTCTAGACCAAATCTACCATATAAAATAATAATCGTACAATATAAAACTGAATTGTTTTATTCTAAAAACATCGTGGTTGAGTGTCTGTTTTACGTAGGATAGTCCCACAAAATGTCTTAAAAGAAGACAACATAGTCCGCAACTCCATTCAGTAATTTTTTCCGTGACAATGTTTCAAATCCATGAAACAACAAAGATAGTAATTTGAAATTAATAAAAAAATCTTTAAAAAACAAGTGAAATAAGATGAAAACGAATGTGTATTGTGTTTAGTTTTTAAATAAGATGTTTCAGAAAACAGTAATCTGGCTCCTAATTTCTTGTGACCATTCCAAGAAAGTAACCATGAAATTTCCAGCTGCAACATATCCAATTCTATAAAATAAAGGATGTCTTTAGATCCTTAACCACTTTCTTTTGCATATTATTGTGTTTATACATATTTACAGAAACTTCATTATTTCATAACGGAAACATATACGATACTCATCATACAATATCAAATTCCCTACTTAGGATATCTACCACAATATTAAACCTCTAATCAAAAGGATCAATTCGAGGATCGTGTTCGCTTGCCATAGCCATTCCAGTGCAAAGACATGTCGGACACATGACCTGCAATCAAAATTCAGTATGACAATTTCATCACCATGATAACAATGTTAAAGTCATTAAAATGTGTGACATCAAATTTTAGTTAATATAGATAATGGAAGTGCTTAATTATAATTATAAAGTCAGTAGTACATTTAAATGACCAACCTTGCCAGATCCGGAGCAATTTGAACATCTCTCGGTTTTCGGTGGTGATAGAGGCTGATCTGCACCATTGAAGGTGGATACCGGTTCAATCAGAACAAGTGCACCCGTGTTTGAACAACGAGCGCATGCAAGATATCCTAACACAGCAAAAGTATGATAGTAATGTCAATTTTCTAGCAGTTAGCTTCAACATAGGATGTTTGAAATCTTCAAGTATTTCACAATATGACGTTTGCATTAAGGGAAAGAAAATCCAAAATGCTACGATTTCACTGTTCATAAATTCGACTTGTGAAATGCAGATTTCAGAAGTTTTAGAAATATTACCGGTACCAAGACAGTACTTGCATCTTTTCTGCTCCTGTTGTTTTACATTGTTTATCTCAACAACCATTAATGCGGAGATTACTCCAACTGCTCCACCCGAGAATGATGCCACAATAGGATCAACCTGACTAGAATATCCAACCAAGTTGTTAATATCGGCAAGCCAGCAACAATAATTAGAATGCATTAATATTCATCTCAAGAGATATTCGTTAACATCAATAAAATATTCCTCTATATTTTATAGAGGACTACTCTCTCTGATCCTATTTATAAGAAAAATTTAATTTTTAGATTTATTAAATAATCAATGTATACAGACTATAACGAATCTATAAGATATTTTTTTTTAATAAATAAGACCTGATACGTAAATAGGCAACAAAAAAAATCGAGAAAGGGACACTACCTCAACTGCATAGGAAGATGCACATTTTGAATAAAATCTGCATAAGACGTGCCTCCTATTCCAAGCTTAAGCTCCAACTGAGAAATGAGTTGAATATGAGACCAATGGGAATGAATGAGTTGAAAAATAAATGAAAACAGAAAACTAGGTGTTCGTAAATCTTACACTCGGAGCAAGAAGACCACCAAAAAGAATTATCCCGCCGATAAGAGAAAAACAGGTTGCGTAATACTGCTTGAGGTTTGCTGAAGTCTGCAAATAACATATGTAGTTGATTATTACCATTTTCAAAACCAAACCTTCTAAACTAAAAGTAACTTTATGTTCATAAAGATTAACGACAAAATCAGCGACCACTTATTGAATGCCTCGGTGCTGCAGTTCGGAACAAACTACATGAAACTTACCAAAGGAGGTAAGAATGGAATGAACGATGGGAAGTTCGGAAGTTCATTCTCTTGCTCTTCTTGCGAAATTCCAAGTTCTGCATTTTTAATCCTTTGCTGTATTCTAAGCCTACGAACCTACAAAAAAGAAGATTTATATTGTTGATAAGCAAAGCATTTTCCATCTTTTTGAACTCATCATTTGACATATAAGCACTTAAATGTTCCAAAGAGCTTATGAATTCCACCCGCCGGAGAGAATCTAACTATGAATTCCACATTTTAGAATATTGTTAATAACATACCATGTTGACATTAATATTATAGTCCTAGAATTTCAAAGAAATCGAACATTTACTCGTTATTTAGAATAAGCATATCAAATATGTAGCCGCGAATCCGATGGCAGGATTAGATGATGGTAAGAGATATCTTCCAACTTAACCAGAGGTCTCGGATTTGAATCTAGCTTTTTGCTGGTCCATCCGGGGATTAGTTTCTACACTTGCGCAATGCGAGCAGAGGATTACCGATTTAATGAAAAACGCAGTTACTTGAAGAAGAAAATTTTACCTCTTCCATATGTAAGAAAATCTTATTCCTTCGACTTCGAATATTATCCTGAATTTCTTGAAGTTCCATTTTAGCAAAATCTTGTACAGTTTCAGGCCCTTCTATAATGCAGAACCTGCGTTTAAAACAATAAAAATAGGAGGGGTGCATTTATTAAAACGAGCGGGTGTAAAAAGAAGAACTATTCTACTCACCCAGTAGCAGCAGCGTTTTTATCGGTGGTGTCAGAATCAACAGAAGATGCAAAAGACGAAGAGTCAGATTCAAGTGCCATGAAACGCCACCTCGTATTGAAACTGAAACCGTTGTTGTTGTTGTTGTTGTTTAGATTAAGGAATCTTTTGTTGTTGATTCTGTAACTGGAATCATAGAGCTGAAGACACTTTGTGGACCCACCAACTACACCCAAACTCAACATCATCGTATTTTTCGACTCTCAACTTCGATTTAGGATTGGAAAAAACATGAAATTGGATCGAAAATTGAGGTTGTTGTTGTTGGGAGGTTTGAGAATGGAGTTGTTGAAATGGACAGCACAAATTGGTGGGGGTTTCATGAGATGAAATAAAATAATGTAAATATAAATATATTTTAGTGGAAATGGTATTTTTAGTGGAGTTGAGACGGTTGCCTCACTTTTGATTCCACCACTAAATACAAAAGTGTCACTAAAAAACAAGAAAATGTGATGGATAAAAAGATATATTGACAAATATTGTGGTTGGCTCACATATTTGTGTCCCCTTCTTGATGAATAATATATCCATATGAACTTAGGATATTCTTCATTTCTTCAAAGAAATAGAGAATGTCATTACTATAGTATTAACAATACATTTATATTATTGAAATATGTGACATATATTTTATATATTTTAGTTATATAAAAAAAATATTGGTAATGGTATTCTCCATTTTTTTTTTGAAGAAATAGAGAGGATCTCCACTCATCCATATGGTAGATATCGATATTTTGTTTAATAGAGGTTAGAAATGGAGAGAATATTTTGTTAATAAGTAAATTTTTTTTTTGAGAAAATGATAAAAAAAAGTTTAATATATTATAAATTTTGAATGTGTAGTTGATGATGACCACCAAATAAAACTTTTTTTGTAAGGTTCACATTCTAACATTTATGTTCGCAAAATAAGAGAGATAAAACTTGCAAGTGAATGAATAAATTATACATTGTCGTGATGTGGGATCATGTTTAAGGCGCGAGATGCGAGATGTTGTTGGATGAATATCAACAGTTGAGATGATGACATTGTCATGCTCCAGTGTGGAACTTCCATAAGAGCGTCTACATGTTCGCTAATTGCATGTCGCCTATGATTGGATTGACCATGTGTGTTAAGTCAGTTTTATTGGATCATTGACCAGTGTAGAACAATTGTCTCCCTAGTCCTTATTGATGTAGGAAGGCTGGCTGTGAGTATCGAAAAAGAAGTCGCGCGTAAGAAAGGTTTAGCGGAAATTGTGCAGGTTTGGCGTCCGATATCAGAGTGACTATTATTATACCATTTCAGATGAGAAATCGACTCACGAGTGTAACTCACGGCTTCCATTTGAGTTTGTTTCGGGCTCGAATACAACATTTTAATATTAATCGTGATTTTCTATTTTATTTTTATTTTAGATTAAAAGTCTATTAGGGTTTCTTTTTCTATTTTATTTTTGTTTTGGATTAAAACTCCATTAAGATTTCTTTTTATATATTTAAACACCTTTGGGTGTGGTCGTCAAGGTTATCTTTAATTATAATAAAATTCAAGTATTTTCTCTTTTGGTGTATTCCAAAACTTTATCTGACAGGTTTTTCGCTTGCAAACTTGTGTTTTCGTTTTATACTTTGCACTTGCTAATCCTTCATGATTCTGACTGCGTCATGTGGCATCAGAGTAGGTTTTTTAAACTTTTTTTCCATAGCTTGATCAGCCATGGGAGATCAACCATTGACCAAAGCACACCTTAGGGACCATTGACCAAAGCATGCCTTAGAGAATTGTCGCGGCTTTTACCACGGTCATAACTGCTTTGATTGAACAGATGGCGACTTTAACAACTCAGGTGAACAATGCCAAAAATAATGGGAACCAGGGAAGACACGGGAGAAGGGAACCTATTAGGGTTCTGCGAGGTGGAAACAATTGTGTTGTTATTGTTGAAATTTTGAATTATAAAGAAGAAGAACCCTATGAGGAAGAGATGGTTGATCATGGGAATCTACATAACCATGATTTAGAGTGAAGGTTGATATTCCATCATTCTACAGAAGGATGGGAGTGGAGGAGTTTTTGGATTGGCAGATCGACATTGACAAATTCTTCGATGTCATGGGCGTCCCTGAGCACAAGCAAGTTAATATGGTGGCAATCAGGCTGAAGAATATTGTTGTTGTCTGGTAGAATACGCTTGTTGTTCAGAGGTAGAGGGAAAAAAAGGCCGGTCACTTCTTGGTGAAGAATGAAATAATTGATGTTTGAGCGGTTTTTATCGTAGGATTATGAGCAAATTCTTTATAGGATTTATATTGAGTATGTTCAGGGAAAGATAATTGTGCCATAATACATAGTTGAGTTCCTAAATTTCTCCGAGCATAATGAACTGGGAGAATTAGAGAGCCAGAAGGTAGCTCGATACATTATTGGCTTAAAGGGATCTCTGCAGGAGAAGATGGCTTTACAGACTGTATGGACTATGGCTGAGGCATTCTCTCTAGCTTTGAAGGTAGAATTGATGGAGAAATCCCCTTGAAATTTCTCATATTTTTGTATTCTTCTCATAATAACTTAGAATTAGTAAGCGACAAAGAAAATAGTGCACCAACCAGGGATTACAACCCTGAGAATAAGGGGACTAGAAGCCTTAGCAATATGCAGCAGAGTAAAACACCAGTCTAGAGGCGAAATAATCCATATGTTAAACCCACTGGAGACACGTGTTATAATTATAATGGAAGATGTCACAGATCAAATGTTTTTCCAACAAGGAGAGTCGATGTTGTTGCGGAAGAAAGGGGAGAGGAAGAGAAAAGATAAGGACAAGCATTTGATAAAGATGAATATGCAGGGGTTAAGTTTGCAAAGGAAGAATTTGATGAGAGAGTAAATTTTGTGTTTTGGAGAATTATACTAGCATCCAAAGATGAAGGGAAACGTAAGAATTTGTTTAAAACACATTGTTCTATCAAGAAAAATGTGTGTAATCTGATTGTGGATAATGGTTGCATGGAGAATCTGGTGTTACAGAAATTGATAGATTATTTGAAGTTGTCCACTGAACCCCTATGAGAAGCCATACACACTCGATTGGGTAAGCAAGGGCACCCAAGTTCGAGTAACATTAGCCTGTAGAGTTCTTATCTATATCAGAAAACATTAATGAGAATAGGTATTTTATGATGTTATTGATATGATTTTTTTTCATATTTTACCTGGTAGGCATGGGTAGTTTGATAATGATATCACTTATCGAGGACGAGATAATGTGATGATGTTTATTTAGGGCACACATAAAATTGATATGGCTCATGTTTTGCACTTTGATAAGAATCCAAGAGGAAAAAGTCTAGTTTCTTGGTGATGACGCAGAGTGAAAAGAAGTTTGATGACGCTATTAAAGAAACTGATTTTTTTTTGTCCAATGGTGATTAAAGAGCTGATGAGTGATGTAAATAAGGAAACAATAATTCCATAAGAAGGGCTAGGGATCCTACAGGATTTCAAGAAGTTGATCGCAGATGAACTACTAAATAATTTTCCTCTTATGCGAGATAAACACAAGAAAGTTAAATTTTTCAACGTGGGAGACAATGTGATTATTTTTCTGCATAAGGAGAGGTTTTCGTTGGTACTTACAACAATTTGCAGTCACAGAAGTATGACCCATTCAAAGTGACCTGAAAGATCAATGACAATGATTATATGGTAGCTCTCCCAGATTCCATGAATATATGCAATGTTTTTAATGTTGCTGACATTCATGAGTATCAAGTTGATGAGGCTCTTTATCAAGAAGATAACTCGGGGTCGAGTTCTTCATAGATAGAGGAGACTAAGGTAGGAAGGATGATTGTGCGTATCAAATAATAATTCGCATGTCGGAAAGGTTCGACAAGAATTATGCAGGATTGACGTATGATATCATAATGACTATTATTATACCTTTTCTCATAAGGAATCGACTCACAAGACCAACTCGCGACTTTTTAGTGACATATATGCCTTTTAAGCCATCCGAGTTTGTTACAAGCCCGAATACAACATTTTAATATTTTTCGCAATTTTCTATTTTATTTTTGTTTTAGATTAAAAGTCCATTAGGGCTTATTTTTCTGTTTTATTTCTGTTTTGGATTAAAATCTCATTAGGGTTTCTTTTTATGTATTTAAACATCTTTAGGTGTAACCGTCAAGGTTACCTTTAATTATAATAAAATTCAAGTGTTTTCTCTTTTGGTGGATTCCAAAACTTTATCTGACAGGTTTGTCACTTGCAAACTTGAGTTTTCGTTATAGGCTTATGTGTCGACACATGTAGTTAAAATTTGACTTATGTGTCGACACATACAGTTTTCAGGTCGGCACATACTGTTTGATTGGGTCAATTTTTTAATTCTTTTTTATTTCGAAAATCCATTTTTTTCATCTAAACTTCCACAACTATAAATACATCATTCCAACTTGATGATACCATAAAAATATCATGCATTTTCTCTTTATCTTCAACCTCTAACATATGCATGCACACTAACAAATAATCAGAATAATCTTTTGTTGGGGTGCCATCTAGCGAGGTTCGATAATGTTCAATTAGGTTCTTGTGGAGCCGAGAATATTGTGTTGAGATTCGCAGGGGTCTTCATTCGGAAAAACTGCGGGTTTGTTCTCCAAGATCCTTGATCAATTTAGGGGTTTTCATGCAAGACGTTCAAGAGAGGATTGCGGCCTAGTGAAATCCTTTGGAGATAAAGAACGTAAAGGACCCTTTGGAGATAGAGAATGCAAAGGAAGTAGCATGCGAACACTGAATTGAATTGAAGTCTTGTGTTGCAATAGGTATAATTGATGGTGCACGAAAGCTTTGGAGATAAAGAATGAAAATGAGTAGCAAGATTCCGATAGTCAATTGGCAATCTATTGTGTGCTTTATCTTTTTGAAGATCAAAAGAAGAGAAGGGGTTGAATCAACAATAAACAGTTAGGGTTTGTAGGATTGCTCTGGAACACTTCTCTTGTAATCATACTTTTTGCAAAGTAAGAAAGCATCCTAATTCCACATTGGAATTGAGCGCAGACGTACCCAGACGCGAGGACGAAAGTGGGGAACTATGTAGACAAATCCTTGTGTCTCTTTTCTTTTATCATTTTACTTATTTAATTTTCATATATCAATTTGTCAAATAGCATTGAGTAATCGATCGACTCGTAGGATTTTTCTGGGACTATTTTTGTTTTGAATTGTGTGTTGATTAGCTTATAATCACTTTGATCATAAGGGGTTTTCATATCAACACAACTCAAAGAAAAATTCTGAAAAGTCGAACGCACACCAAGTGTTTGACAAATTGCAATGTTCTATACTTTTGTTTAAATTTTATTGGAAATAGGAAACCATTGTGTTTGATATT